GCCACTGATGCAAAACATAAAACGAGATCAAACATCAGCAAACTCATCGAAACAAGGGGGTCTTACTGCCGCTGTCAAAGTGCCATTGGTGGTCTGCGTGCCGCACTCGCACGACCAAACGGGGGTCGGAGCGGCGCCAACGGCGGGCCGGGGGCCGGTGGGGGCCCCGGTGGAGGCGGGGGCGGCGGCCCTGGTGACCCCAGAGCCACCCCCGGCGTGAGGCTGCTCGAGAGCGGGTATAAGGCATTAGTGAGGGGCGAGCACGGGCAGGGCTTTCCAACGCTACTGGCGGGAGCAAAAAATTATACAAATAAAAATAATGAGACAACAGGATGCGTTAAATGCAATACTGGCGGTGAGGCTGCAGCGACTGAAACCAACGGGTGTGCTCGATGATGCTGGATACAAAATACAGGTGGCAAAAATAAAATTATAGTCATAAATACAGATCAATGAACTCGGTGCGAGGATCACTGTGGAGCAAGCCATTCCTAATTCGACATCAAACGACACAACGCAAAGCTTCGGCATCGAGCGAACTGATTTAAACAAGAGAGTTACGTGGGTCAACAAAAAGCGATATTATGAGGATGTCGTCGTCACGGTCGTTTGTCTTGTACTCACTCTTGACGCGAAGCCAGAGGCTGATGGAGTCCTCTCCCGCCTCGTTGGTCGCGAAGCACTGGAACATGCCCGAGTCCTCCATCTGGACCTTCTTCACAACCAGGGAGCCGTCCACCTCCATGATGTACCTGCCAGGGCACGTCAACAGTCAACAGGGGTTCCAGCTCAGGTGGGACCGGTGGAGCAGCCATTCAAAGTTTGAATTCACTTTTTTCTGAAAAGATTCTGTAGAATGGCAGGTTCTAGTGCAAGTTTATTTTCCGAGTGACCTACCTGGCGTCTGGTCCGCTGCCGATCGGGACGGGCTCCGCGTTCCGGTACCAGGAGATGTTGGGCGGCGGGACGCCGAGCGCGTCGCAGGCCAGGGTGACGGAGGCGCCGAACTCGCCGAGCAGGTCGTGGCGCGCGGCCTTGACGAACGACGGCTTCTCCTGCACCACGACGCTGGCCGAGGCCGTGATGGTCTCGGCGCCGCCCGAGCGCAGCCGCACGGCGCACGTGTACACGCCCGTGTGCGTCATGTTGGCCTCGAGCAGCGACAGCGTCCGGTTCCAGGGGTTGTTGAGGCCGTACAGCACGCCGCTGTTCTCCACGGGGATGCCGTCCTTGAGCCACAGCGTCTCGAGCTCGTGCAGCGGCCGCGCGTTGGCCACGCAGTGCAGCTCGACCAGCGGCTCCCCCTTCAGCACGTGCACGTCGGAGGGCCGCACCACGAACTCGGGGTCCACCTCCCTACGTGGCACAGAGAAAGAATTCAGCAGCCGTTAGCATTTTTGTCACGCAAAATCGCAAAAACATATATAGGGAAAAAACATGAGTATTTGCACCAAGGCATAGCCCAGAAAGTGCGTCCGCTTTTCTTAGATTCATTCGGCATATTGTGGGAGCTCCGCGCCTGCGAGACTCGGGGTAGGCCACCCCGCAGTACACACCTGCACTGCAGGCCACATGTTGCCTACCTACCAGGCGCGCTGAGGGCTAGCGGAGGCTGAAACTTGGCCAGGTTCGCGTAGCGGTGAATATGACAACTCACTTGTTAGGGTCCCCGCTCACGACCAGCCGGACGTAGGCGCTGTCCTCCTCCTTGCCGAGCTGCGTGTTGGTGGCGCGCGCACGGTAGGCGCGCTGGTCCTGGTCGTCCGTGGCCAGGATCACGAGGTGGCCCTGGCCCGTGACGGCGTACTTGTGGCTGTAGGTCGGGAGCGGGCGGCCGTCGGCCTGCCACGTAATGGAGGGCGCCGGGTGCGACTCGAGCGGCGGCACGGGGATCACCACCGCGTCGCCCGACTCCACCACCAGCTGCTGCTCCTCCATGTCGGCGAACACGCCCATGTCTGCGAAGGACGTCAAAGTTACTTATATTCAACTGATTCGACGACGGAGTTGAAAATGAAAGAGGGAATAAGGCACTCACAGGCTACGGTCACGTTGATGTGGTTCGAGACGATGGCGCCGACGGTGTTCTTGGCCACGCACTGGTAGAGCCCCGCGTCCGCCCGCTGCACCTCCAGGATGCGGAGGTAGTTCTCGGGCGAGAAGTCGTTGAGGTTGTGTCCGTCCTTCATCCACCGGTACTGCGGTTGTGGGTATGCTGCAATAAGAAGTCGAAGCAAAAATAAGAAAATTGAGCTCGTTTCTTTAAACCCCTCTTCGAAAAAAGGGAATAAGTCCGCTATGCAGGCATTTGAACCCCTCGACCTGCCGCCGAGCGGGGCGGGGCCTGCAGCCCGAAGCACTAAGAGCACGGCGTCACGTCATCGGATACGCCGGGCGCGGTGGACCGTGAAAACGGCCCACGCTGCGCCCCGCCACGCCCCATGCTGCGCCCCCTTTTTGCATTTAGGCCCTTTACCGGGTCTGGCTGCAGAGCTTTGCGGCTCGACCGGCAGCAGCCGCACTTTCCCTGTCGCACGGGCGGCGGCGACAGGAGAGACAGGGGGAGGTACAGAAATAAAACCCATTTTAGAGCTAAACACCCCGGGGGAGGGAGGGGGGGGGAGGGGCAAAGGGGAATAGGGTGCCGACAAGCGGAACAGCAAAGCGAGCAATTATTCACCACGCGGTGATACAGAGCAGCCACCACCCCGCGCCCGCGCGCGCCGGGGCGTCGCCTGTCGCAGCCGTCGCCAGCAGATTATCCCCCCCGGAAGAGGGGAGGAGAGGGGAGCGCGGAAGCGGGGGCGAGGGAGACCATACACTGACAGTCCCGCGCGGCAAAGGCAACGGTAACGTCGACACCCCGATGTAGCGCAGGCGAGGGGTTCAGCTAGCAGCACCCCGTCA